TACTAGAAAATAAGGTAGTACATAAGCTAACTAAATACGTTATTCATGTTGGATGTCTTGTTGTATGGGAGGAAGAGGCATCGGAATTTATAATGCCCTTCCTCCTTCAAATTTTCTTATTTAATCGAATTTCTACCGTTTTTTTCAACAACAAAAAAAAATACCAGTCTAGATAGGGAACTATCTCTAAGATCTAAAAATATGCATAAAAAATAAACCAATGTGATCATATATAAACATATCCATTCAAGAGTAGGGATTGTCTCTATATCAAAGCCTATAATTGTTTATTGAGAAAATTTTATTCACCCTCATTCTAATTTATCCTAGCTTTAAGAATAACCTTTCTATTTTTTGAATATTTACTGACACCCTCAATCATATTAATGACATTAACTGGAATATAGTTTTACTAAATTGTTCATGATATATTTGAGAAAAAATTTCATGCACACCCTTTTTAGATAGGTATGTCTTCAATAAGACCTCTTATTTTTTATGACTTTTTTACGTATTAAAATTCAGGTCAATTAATATTTAATTCAAGTCAATTAAAATTTGTTTTTAATCGGCTTAAATCAAATTTTAATCAACTCGCATTGAATTCTAATCAGTCCGAATTTTAATACATAAAAAATATAAATTTTAATAGACTTAAATATTAATACGTAAAAGCCAAATTTTAATCAATATCAATTGAATTTTAATAAGTAAAAAGTATAAATTTTAATCAACTTGAATTTTAATACGTAAAAAAAGAAATTGTTATAATCTCAAATCTTAATTTGTAAAAAAAATAAAATTTAATCAGCTCAAATCAAATTTTAATCGACTCAAACTTTAATATATAGAAAAATAAATTTTAATTAGTTTGAATTTTAATTGGCTCAAATTTTAATCAAATTTTATGTAAAAAAAATTATTTAGAATTTATGTAGGGCAAATTTTGGTATTTTGGATGAATTTTATTTTGTTAGAAATTGTGGTTTAAAGGTATGGGTGTCAGTGATGTTTAAATATAAACTAGAAAATGGTGTCACTGATATTTTAAATAATAGAAGGTTGTTCTTAAAAATATGATAAATTAAAAAAAGTATGATTGAAAATTTATCTTGTTTACGTATCAATCTATTATTAAACAAAAAAGAGAGATTTACAATACCAAAAAAAAAACAGAGAGGTGGTGTTCTCCACGTGTGTGTTTGAAAGTCAAATCTAAAACAGATCTGAATCTAGATCTGAAGCCAAAAAAAAAATTGGAGAAGAAGACCTTGATCTCAGATGCAAAAAAAGAAAAAAAAAATCGTTTCTATGTGTTCGTTCCGCCTGTGTTTATGTTCGTTCCTTGTGTGTGTGTTCAAAGTCAAATCTAAATCCAGATCTTGAGAAGACGTTGGAGAAAGCGCCAGAGATCGTCAGAAAAGAATGATAGTGTGTGTTTCGTTTAGTTTTTCCCGAAGTGGAGGAGACAAAAAAAAAAAAGAGAAAGAGGATGGAANGAAGTGGAGGAGACGAAAAAAAAAAAAGAGAAAGAGGAAGGCAAAAAAAAAAAAAACTTTTTTATATTAGAATATGTTTTGCTGCAAAGGAGTTTCAAAGAGAAGACCTCGTTAAAGAAATAGAGGTGTTTTCCGTGTTTTCTTTTTTCCCTTTTGTTGTCTTCAAAACACCCAAAATAAATTGAACTTATTTCCTTTATTTTCGAAAATTGGAGAATTAAAAATTCAAATCAAATAACTTTTACTTGTTTTTAGAATTTTGAAAACAAAAAACTGTTTTCAAAAATCAATCTAAACAGGCCCAACTTTCGTGATCGAAGCAAAATGACAAGTATGCTTCTTGCATATGTTGACAAAATGTGTGTTTCCATTAACGCATAGAATCAGTAATAGGAGTTTAACATGAAGTGAAAAACTTCCACACCCATTCACAACTAACAACACTGTAGGATTTTATTTTTTTTTTAAATCAATAATAAAACCCTTGAAACCCAAAAGCAAAAAATTAGCAACTGAAACTGTTTTCTATCTTATAGCAACATAAATTTCTCATTTTAAGACTTATCACAAATTTAGAAGTATTGTTTATAGCTTGGTACATGGGAATTTATTTTAAGTACTTAAAACTGGCCATTGTCAGCAGCTCATTTCAACAATAGGGTCTTCCTCTGTAATAATACATTATTTTTCAATGCCATAATCCTTCTTTGTTTCCTTTTAATTCTTCTCTTATGTTGATTTTTGTTTTCTTGGTTACACGGTGTTTAGACTTGTGCCGACTACTCTCTCAAACTCTGCAACTAACCACCGTAACTTGATATGTGTTTGTGTCCTTAGGATATGCTTGGTACGTGGGTTTGGATGGGATTTAAGAGGTGAATTTTATAAAAATAGTCCAATATATTTTCTAAACCCATATTTGGTTCAAGATTTGAGACTCGAAATTCATAGAGTAAATGAATTGGGGTCCACAGTGATTGGTTGATTAAAACCCACAAATAGAGATTTGATGAAACTTATGTGAAGGGTGGGTTTCAAAAGTGAAAGATTGGATTTGAAAACAAAAAGTCTAATTTACCCAAAAAATTATTCTTATATGAGAAAGTTTTAACTAGATACTTTTAGTTTATCATATCTTCAAAAATACCGCTCTATTTTTTAAATCTTTACTGTCACTCCTTGTCAAATTAAAAACTTTAACTAAAATAAAATTTTACTAAATTATTCAAGATATATTTTAAAAAAAACTTCATCCACACCCTTCCTAGATAGAAATATTTTTAATGACACCCCCACTAGTTTATGAATTTTTGTACGTATTAAAATTTGATTTGAGTCAATACTCAAATCAAATTCTAAACTCGTTTTAAATTTTAATCGGCCCAAATTTTGATACATAAAAAAATATAATTTTTAATCAACTCAAATTTTAATACGCAAAAAATGAGTTTTAATAAATTTAAATCGAATTTTAATTGGCACAAATTTTAATAAGTAAACAAATATAAATTTTAATTGACTAGAATCAAATTTTAATCGATGCTAACAGCTTAGGTGAAGCTCAAATCAACCCCAATTTTTAATATGTAAAAAAAAAAAGAATTTTAATAAGCTCAAGTTTTAATAAATAAAATAAAATTTAATTATCTTGAATCAAAAAATAAATTTTAATCGGCTCGAATTTTAATATGTAATTGAACTTGAGTCTTGTGGGTTATTAAATATCAAACTCAACCACTAAATCACTCCTAAAAATTCCCTTATGCTAATTTAACTCATACAAATTTTACCAATTTTTTTTTTAAAAATGTTACACAATCAAAATGGAATCCAAAAATTACAACACAAATACATATCACTTATTGGATGAGTGGTTAGATGAATACGTTCTACTAAAAAAGCTAATAGGATCGACTCATTCAAAAAATAATATGCATTTAAGTTATAATTTTTGAATTATAATTTTTTACTTCTATTTGGGTTAGGAAAAATTTCAACCACACTCCCTCTAGTTTATTATATCTTCAAGGACACCTCCTCTAGTTTCTAAATTTTCAATGACACCCCTTCTAGTTTAATTTAAAAATCACTAACACACCCTACCATTAAACTACCATTTCTAACAAAAAAAATTCATCTAAAATACCAAAAATGGCCCTACATAACCTCAAGTAATTTTTCTACATAAAATTTTATTAAAATTCGAGTTGTTAAAATTTTAAAAAAAAATTATAAATAACAATTTTAGTAAATAGTTTGTTAGTAAATACTAATTTGTTATTTACTAATTCGTAAATTTAAAAGAAAATTCGAGCCTATTAAAATTTATTTTTTACATATTAAAATTTGAGCCGATTTGAACTCTAACCGAGTTGTTAACGCCGATTAAAATTCTCTTTTGAGTTAATTAAAATTTATATTTTTTTACTTATTAAAATTCGTGTCAATTAAGATTCAATTTATTAAAATTTAAGTCAATTAAAATTCAAATATTTTTATATATTAAAATTTGGACTGATTAAAATTCAATGCGAATTAATTAAAATTTTATTTGAGTCAATTAAAAATAATTTTTAATAGGCTCAAACAAAATTTTAATTAACCCAAATTGAAAAAAATATAATTTTTAATTGGCACAAATTTTAATATGAAAAAAAATAAATTTTAATTAGTTTGAATTGAATTTTAATCGGTTGAAATTTAATTACGTAAAAAAAATTAGAAAACAGAGGGAATCTTATTAAAAATATACTTATCTAGAGGGGGTCTCATTGAAGATATGCTTATATAGAGGGGGTGTGGATGAAGTTTGTTCTCAAATATATCATGGACAATTTAGTAAAATTGTATTTTACTTAATATTTGTAATCTGATAGGGGTGTCATTTAAAATTTAGAAACTAGAGGAGGTGTTCTTGAAGATATGGTAAATTAGAGAGGGTGTGGTTGAAATTTTTTCTATTACCTAACTTTTTTTTATCAATTTCTCTTAATTATTTATGTTGAAGATATTTCACGTTAAACAATGAAATTGAGAACTCTTAATTACTACTACTTAGCCAGAACTTCAATCGAAGAAACAATATAATTATTGAAGGTTATTAATTTGTTTCCTCGCAAAGAGTATCAACACATCCTTTCACCATACTGCCCATCTCTCCAACGGCTATTTGCATTTTTTTGTGCAAGTCTGGAACATATTCAGCTTTGGACCCCCCCGACTTTTTATTAGCTTCCTCGAAATTGAACAAAGTTAAAAAGCCTTGAAGAAGACCCAGCCCACAACTGACCAGTCACCAATACTTTTGGACTCTCTCTCTCCTTCGTCGTGACCTCATCACCCAGTGACCTGATTCTCTGCCTACTACATTATCATTTCTTTTACCCCTTTAACCTTTAATTTACCAAAAAGTAAAGAAAATAGTAACCAAAGTGGTATCCCACCTGAGAGGAGTCGCACTACTTATCTCAGACTCGTCCTGCAATTAGCTCAACGCCCTCTCTCTCTCTCTCTCTCTCTCTCTCTCTCTCTCTCTCCCCATAGTCTGTACCCGAAGTGGCCATGACTTGTCAATAGGCACACCCTCCATCACACCCAATTCTTTATCTTCTTTACAAGTGCTCTAAATCCAAAGAAACCTTTGCAAGGAAATTCCTAATATGGGTTTATTCACTTTCCTTTTGCTCTCTCTCTTAGGCCTAGCTTGTTACACCAGTAAGTTTCTCAACTACACAAGTTCTATTAAGCACATGCATACATATTTCTGTGTTTTGTAACTTAACTCATTCTGTTGTTCTATCGATTTACAGGTGCAGAAATCTCACCCCAGATTGGAGTTTGCTACGGCCAACTGGGTAACAACCTACCCCCTCCACCAAAATCCGTAGAACTCATCAAAAACCTTAAAGCCAACAGGGTAAAGATCTACGATGCCAACCCAGAAATCCTCAAAGCCCTCAAAGGCACCGACCTCCAAGTCTCTGTCATGGTCCCTAATGAGATCATCACCAACATTTCCTCAAATCAAACCTTGGCAGATCAATGGGTCCTCGCCAATGTCGTCCCTTTCTACCCAGAAACCATGATCCGATACCTATTAGTCGGAAACGAAATATTGAGTCAACCCGATACAACAACCTGGTTCAATCTTGTACCGGCCATGCGTAGAATCAAATACTCGGTCAAAAAATACAAGCTCCATAAGATTAAAGTTGGGACGCCACTGGCTATGGATGTTTTAGAATCATCGTTTCCACCGTCTAACGGAACATTTCGATCCGATGTATCGGTGAAGGTCGTGAAACCATTGTTACAGTTCTTGAACAGAACCAAGTCTTTCTTCTTCCTAGATGTGTATACATTTTTCCCATGGTCCTCTGATCCCATAAACATCAAGCTTGACTACGCTCTGCTAATGGCGAAGAACATTACATATACCGATCCGGTTTCGGGTTTAACATACACCAACCTGCTCGATCAAATGCTTGACTCAGTTGTTTTCGCCATGAAAAGACTCGGGTATCCGAATATTCGACTTTTCATTGCTGAAACGGGTTGGCCCAACGGCGGCGATATCGACCAGATTGGCTGTAATATTTACAACGCCGCCACTTATAACCGGAATGTTGTGAAGAAACTAATGTCGAAGCCGCCGGTTGGGACGCCGGCACGGCCTGGTACGGTTCTGCCGGCGTTTTTATTCGCTTTGTACAATGAGAACCAGAAGCCGGGTCCGGGTACGGAGCGACATTTCGGGTTGTTGTACCCGAATGAAAAGAATGTGTATGAGATCGATTTATCTGCAAAGACGCCGGAATCAGAGTATAAACCGTTGCCGATTCCGACGAATAATGAGCCTTACAAGGGGAAGATATGGTGTGTGGTGGCTAAAGGAGCGAATCGGACGGAGTTGGCGTCGGCGTTGTCGTATGCTTGTGGGCAGGGTAATGGGACTTGTGACCCGATTCAGCCCGGTGGGAAGTGTTACAAACCGATAAAGTCTTTGGTCCGGCATGCAAGTTTAGCTTTTAGTTCGTACTGGGCCCAGTTTAGGAATGTTGGTGGGACTTGTTACTTCAATGGGCTTGCTATCCAGACCGCTAAAGACCCAAGTAAGTATCAACTTTCTTTTAATTAGTTTTATAAAGACGGTTTAATTAGTTTTATAAAGATGGTTGAATGGAGCTACAAGGTACTACTAATAATAGGAATTAATATGGGGATGGATCAGGATCAGGATCCCCAACAATCATTTACTATTCCAATGTTGAACTCGTTTATTGTCAAGGTGTTAGTGATATCACGTAGGAATATGCTCTATGCCCATCATTCATGGTTTGATATTACATTGGAAATGGTGAATGTGGGGGGGACCTACATAGAACCATAGTGAAAATTAAATTTGGCCCTATGGCAGCAGTGCCATGGTTGGACAGAGAGAAATGATCATTTCTTTTCCTTTCGATTATTTCCTCGAGTTTGGATATTAGTCGTCGAAATCCAAGCATGTGTAGAATATGTTCTATGAGAAACAAGAGAGACCGACCTTAGATGTTTCGAGTATTGTTGAATCTGAAATTTTTAGATTATCAGAAGAAGTTAGAGTGAGTCATTAAACCACACTATGATTAAAAATAATAGTAATAATAATAAATGAATGATCATTTCGTCTATGGGTAATGATGTGTAGGTCACCTTCAGTGGTAGGAACGTTTTGGTGAGCTGGCTTTGAATAAAATGTTGTATGGGTTGCCTGTGTGACGTGGGGGGCAGGCGGCAAGAAATTTATTTTCCTTCCAAAAATATGGAGAAAAATTGAAGTTGTTAATGTCAATATAGCCATATATAGACTCTGCACTCATTAGTATTGGAAAGTAATTTTTTAATACATCACAATTTGACACTGGTATTTTTATTATTATTTTATCGTTACACTCCGATTTAAGATCAAGAACTATTTTTGGGGAAAAAAAAAAAAAAAGAAGTTAATTTGTCCTATCATAACTTTTATCCATTGGTTATAGCTTGATTTTAGGGTTTAGGCTAGCTCATTCAAAAACTGTTGTCAGCATTTAATTCTGATGGAGCTTTGTGCGCTTTTTTGTCGATGGTATATATCTCTATACAAGTGCGAGAGACTCACTTATCCTCCCTTAAGAGAGTGTATCGGATGGAATCTACAACACATATCATCGGTAGCTTGTTCAATGAAATATGCATAACTGTACAAGTATTGGTAGAAATAGAATAGAGGAATCAAAGTTTACTAGGACTGTACTGAATTGAATGTAAAAACTTCATGCTGCTAAGTTACTAATCCACACTCATCCTCAGTTGGCATGCATGGACATTGAACAACTCTGTTTTTCCTTGTAAAGCCTGTTTTTGTTTAGTTTTTGTGGGTTTTGATGATTTGGTTTGCAGGTTATGGATCTTGCAAGTTCCCAAGTGTTACTCTTTGAAGAATCAAGACGGTGAATGTTGGGAAATAAACAAACACCAAGTGATTATTGGCCTTTTGGGATTCAGATTTTCTTACCGTACACTTTCCTTCAATTTTTCTCGATAATAAATCACTTATCGTATGTTGGTGGAGGATTTTCTTATGCCAAGTAGTAATCTAACTTGAATTAATGACGGGTGATTTATTATCAAAAAAAAATTGAGATAAAGTATATTATAGAGAATCTGAAAATAGGAGACGTGAACTCCGATTCCCCTGCATTAGGAATAAAATAGGTCCCCAATTCAATTGCTCATTCTGATAGAGTCTTCAAGCAAACTTCTAATGTATTGTTTCTTCAGGGGCTACTAGTAACGGCTATTTATGTATGTATTGTGCTCATACAGTGATAATATTGTTTTGAGGTTGGTGGATATCTTTTATAGGGCATCCATCCAACGGCTATATATGGAGTTGTCTTTATTGTGTCATTATTGTCAAGTGCACATCTACTGCTTTTTATGCTGCATTTTAATTTCTACCAGTAATTGTCCGTACATGAAGGCACAGCGTAACGAAATCAAGGTAATCTTATGTAACCTAAAACTCTAAAAATTTTACATTATCNATAGGGCATCCATCCAACGGCTATATATGGAGTTGTCTTTATTGTGTCATTATTGTCAAGTGCACATCTACTACTTTTTATGCTGCATTTTAATTTCTACTAGTAATTGTCCGTATCTGAAGGCACGGCGTAACGAAATCAAAGTAATCTTATGTAACCTAAAACTCGAAAAATTTTACATTACCTAAAGACTCTTTGCAACCTAAAACAATCTGTCAATTTGAAATCAAAGTAGTCCATACTATTATCCAAAAATTTCGGCATAATTTTCTCTTAAAATAAGAACTCATAAAAGTCTAAACATGTTTACAGATCTTACAATCGTACATAACAATCATCATAATTTACCATATCACCACAATAATCAATACATACTCAATCATCAACACATATTCAACCATCAAAACATCAAGCTAATCCTTACTAATTTCAAGAAATTTGGGCAGAATTTTCTCTAAAAATAGAAGTCCAAAAAAATNTCGGCATAATTTTCTCTTAAAATAAGAACTCATAAAAGTCTAAACATGTTTACAGAACTTACAATCGTACATAACAATCATCATAATTTATCATATCACCACAATAATTAATACATACTCAATCATCAACACATATTCAACCATCAAAACATCAAGCTAATCCCTACTAATTTCAAGAAATTTGGACAGAATTTTCTCTAAAAATAGAAGTCCAAAAAAATCTAAACTTGTCTAAAAAACTTACAATTATACATATCACTACAATCAGCATAACCATGTTTATCCAAACCACCAAAACAAAATCATCATAACCATGCATAATTAGTTAACTGTACAAAAAATGGAATACAAAAAATACACTCATGCACAAATATAGAAACACCTTCAATTTCATCTTCATATCCTTCCATGTATACCTGAAAATATTTGAGATATGTGAGGCAAAATAAAACATTTGTAAATCCGAAACATAAGACCCTTTATTTTTATCGTTAGTTGGATTCAACATAAAATTGATAATTATATCACTGTCCCAAATTTTGTCGCAAGTGCTACAAACACATTTTAGATAAATAAGCAAGTATGTTTCCTAGAATATGAGATGAAAAATGTGAATGATGTTGGTTAGTGAAAAGCCATCTCACTCAGCAAGATTNAGTGCTACAAACACATTTTAGATAAATAAGCAAGTATGTTTCCTAGAATATGAGATAAAAAATGTGAATGATGTTGGTTAGTGGAAAACCATCTCACTCAGCAAGACTTTTGTTAACACGAAAATGGAACATCAAGTAAAATAAAAAATAAATATTAGGTTGGCGAGATTTTGAAGAACATTTATCTACTTTAAATCAATAAAGTCATCTCATAATATTCTTCTAAGCATAAAATCAAATTCAGCATCATTTGATTATAGATGTCTCTATATATGTAAATCAACACAATCAAAAAGTGGCAAACTTTATAACCTTCCACAAACTTGTAGGCGCGCTTCCATAAAGCAATCCACCTAAGGAAAGAAAAATAGAAAATAAGATTTTTAATAATCAAAGCTCAAATAAGATCTTAAGCTCAATATCCATACTCATTCAAAAGTAAGGCCCATCATTTTACCGTCCTTTGACCGCTCTTAACATGTACCAAGCTGACATGTTTAATCGAACTCTTATCGAATTGGGTGTGATGTAGGAGAGAACTANCCAAGCTGACATGTTTAATCGAACTCTTATCGAATTGGGTGTGATGTAGGAGAGAAATAGCACATAGTATTTCTATGTAGCATTTCAACAAATGGTTCATTTGTCTAATGATTTCAATCATAAATTTGTATTGGTGGTACTATAGTGGTGTGTGAGTTCGATGTGTGAGTGGTTACAGTTGCGTGTATTTGTGCATGTATTACGTGTGTTGTGTTTTTGCATAAGAAACAGAGAAATATAGAGATGGCCTAACATCTAGACAATAGTTTCATCAATGGTGTTGATGGAGATGGCCTAACAGAGTGAGAAAGGGATAAATATAGTGAGAGAATAGTGAAAGAGGGAGGAATATAAAAAAAAATTGGAGATGATGGATTACTCATTCCTCAACACATCATTAACGCAAAAAAAAAATGTTATTCGTAGACAAATAACTATCAAAAATTGGGAACAAATATCATNATGGCCTAACAGAGTGAGAAAGGGATTAATATAGAGAGAGAAGAGTGAAAGAGGGGGGAATATAAAAAAAAAATTGGACATTATGTATTATTAATTCCTCAACACGTCATTAACGCAAAGAAAAATGTTATTCTTAAACAAATAACTTCCAAAAATTGGGAACAAATATCATAGATAAATAATCCTTCAAGTAAACCATGTACTGAAAAAAAAAATTATCATTGAACACAGATGCTCATGAATTCAAAAAACAAACATATAATTATTGAAAAATTATCATCATACATGTGTGAAAAAAGCTATTAAAACTATAATAAAAGTCATGAACCTAGAATTGACGCAAGTTGCAATACATTAAAAAGGTAGTAATATTTACACCGAGTCCAACAACACCTCCGGATATACGATATTTGTCGTGATTGCTGATCCATTAGGAGGGAGAAGGACACTGATGCGATCAGCCGACGTGCATTTAGACATGGCCACATATAGGTGACCGTGGCTGAATACAGGCAAGCGCAAATCTACACCAACAAACTTGACTGATTGGCCCTACGACTTGTTGATTGTTATAGCATATGTTAAACATACTGGGAATTGCCGTCTAGTCATTTGAAATGGTAATTCTTTAGACGACAGTGATAATGNATTGTCATAGCATATGTTAAGCGTACTGGGAATTGACGTCTAGTCATTTGAAATGGTAATTCTTTAGACGACGGTGATAATGATATCCGTGGGATGAAACACAGATTCCCAGATTTGTCACCAGTTAGAATTCTAGCCTCAATAACCCGCGATGCGCACTTGACAACCATTAGTCTGGTCCCGTTACAGAGGCCATCTTTCGGGGCTATATTCCTCAACAAAATGATGGGGCACCCGACCTTTAGCTCCAACTTGAAAGGCGGTAAACCTGACGGGTTTAGGGAATTCAGAAACTCACTTGAATATTGATTAGTGGTAGAACAACAGAGTTCATCCCCATCTAACACCTTGTCAGCTGTCAAGTAGGTATACGTCTCGCCAAGGTAAATTTGTAGAGCAGCATCATTGATAGAACAGACATCATCATTCCGAGCAGAAAGAATTGTGCGATCAGTTAAGTAGAATGGGGGTTACTGCACCGAGCACATCTAGTTGTGGATAAACTCTAGAAATTAGTTCATGCATAGTTCGACACCTGTGTATCGTTGGTGGAAGTTCAACAGTATCTTGCATACTGATCCCAATCTAAGTATGATGTGAAACATATCAGTACATTTAAATGAATAATTAGATGGTTTTATATAAAAAAATCTATAATATAAATCACCTCTTCCAAGAAGGATGCGTGAGAAGAATTTGCATGATAATTACTATTCAAACACATGTTTATGCTCAAAGTCAATACGCACACACTCGCCCACATTGCAGATTGTCTCAAGGATGCACCAACAATTTGTTCTCGCCCACCCTTAGGTATAACCAGTAGTATTTGACAAAATTCCCCACCAAGCACGATCGTGATACCGCCGAATAGTCGGTTATCATCATGAACATCGCGGAGTATGCGATCAACTGCTTCAACACCATGTCGATGCTGCATGGGAACCTCATCCCATATTATTAAACGAGCCTCCCTAAATAATTCCCCATGCAGTGACTGTTTGCTGAAACCACATACTGAGCTTTCTATGATATCGAAAAGAATGCAGAATGTAGAATGAGCTGTCCGACCGCCTAACAACAACAACGAAGCAATTCTGATGAAGCAACTGTAATGACGATATGACCTTCGCTGCGCATTTTAGTGGTGATGGTGTTGTACAAAAAGGTTTTTCCTGTTCCTGCACCACCACTGAAGAAAAAAATTTTGCCCTAATTTTCAACAACGGAGATAGTGATAGCATCGTAAGCCGTACATTGAGCATGATTTAAAACATCAATATTCAAAAGGTCATTCAGTTGATTTGTTTCGTTTCGTAGTTGCATATGATCGATCAACAATCTATTACCTGTAACATTACTCCAATTTTCAAAGGAGTGTGGCATAGGTGGGAAGTCATCCATTTTTTTGTCAAATTCATGTAACAACTGATCAATCAAATATAAACCATAATCTTCGATCTGAGGCTGCGTTGGATCGCATATGCCAAAAGTTGTTTATAGCTTGTGACGAAGATCATCACATATATGAACGGAGAATTGATCCCACAGAGCGCATGGCTGTATTAGCGAGCATTCTACCAGAATAATGCAGAATAATTTCCGTAACTGGTATCCAGTATTCATGATTGAAGCCTCCTAGAGGCATTGTACCCACTCTGCATCATCTTCCAAGNAGCAAGCGCAAATCTACACCAACAAACTTGACTGATTGGCCCTGCGAATTGTTGATTGTCATAGCATATGTTAAGCGTACTGGGAATTGACGTCTAGTCATTTGAAATGGTAATTCTTTAGACGACGGTGATAATGATATCCGTGGGATGAAACACAGATTCCCAGATTTGTCACCAGTTAGAATTCTAGNTCCAAGAGCCCCATAGCTACACAAACTTATTTGAAACTATCATGAAACACACCATTAATTGTGCGTAGACAATCAAAAGACCGTGGTCTTTTAACAACTGTTAATAGCAACCGAAGGTAAAACTGCTCCCCAAAATTGAGCGTAGCAAAGTATAATCTGCCAATTGCAAAATCGGTTTGCCTCGGAGTCCAAATCTTCCGACCCTTGTTCAAAACAAAATGTTGGGAAAATTCTTGGTATGTGTAGGCACGTGCAACATCATTTGAAGAACAACAGTCAAAGAGTCTAGTCAGAGTTGTGTTTTGACTCCTAGACCCAAGTCTAATTGTTTCAAGAGTTTTAGCAGGATCGTAAACAACTTAATGCATACCAGGTAAATGTAGATCTAGTCGTACAACTGAAAGAATTTCTTCATGGAGAGGATAACCGAAGAGTCGCCATGCAGCCTCTGTCGATCCAATATATCTTGCATCAAGGTNAATGCATACCTGGTAAATGTAGATCTAGTCGTACAACTGAAAGAATTTCTTCATGGAGAGGATAACCGAAGAGTCGCCATGCAGCCTCTGTCGATCCAATATATCTTGCATCAAGGTATTGTTTTATCTCATTGTTTCCATCTGGTCCCTCTAAAACTATAGTTGTGCGGTCATGACCTTTGTAAATGTACTTGTGAATATATTTAACACACCTCATTCCTGGACAGACCTCCACGTTTATATGACAGTTGAACTTTCTTGACAGGTGTGAATTGTAAGGTACAACGTCCTGATTATCAAATGTATGCCCTCTGGTGGTGTAAGATTGACCATTACGGTGACGACGGTAAATAGGGTACTCATGTTCATCCATAGTAGTCAAATCTGCAAAGGCTTTTGGATAATGGAATCGACACGCACCGTTCACCATGCAAGTTGAATGTGGGTTTCGAGAACCACACGGACCATGAACTATACAACTCTTGATTGTTTCATAGAGACTTGGATCAGTGGATGGATCTGGGAATTCAGCACTAACTAACCGATCCACTTGTGCAGTTGTCTGAATCTTGTCTGGACTATGAAGGAAGAATAAAGCATGCATGTGTCGTAACCCTCATTTTTGGAACTCAATGGTGAATACATGAGCAACTTTTCGACCAAAAATTTATTCATTTTTACCTCATGCATCAGGGCACGCCATTTTAACTCAAATACATGGGCAACTATGTCTGGACGATCCAAAGAGGTTTGGTGTTCTGGTAAGGCAGCTGTTATTTCAAGCCATGTTGGGTTGGCCGTCATGGTGAGAAAGATGTCAGGGTGTTGGTGGTACCTTGTAATGGCGTCATTGAGTCATGAAAAGTCTAGCTCATGTTACATGCACTCCCAGTAAAGGACGATGGCAAAACAAAGCGTTGTCCGATCTGATCGGGGCCCAACTCATCAACACTGTCATCATACAAATTTGCATAAAGCTCCCGACGCAGCTTATCCTGATTAAGTCTGATGTAAGATAACCTGTTTTGCTCCGTTGATGCCCAAGCATCTACTACAAACTCTTAAAATAAATTTCCTCCTCTAAGAATTGTTGAATACTCAGTGGGACGTGGAAACATACGATAACTGTAAAATTGCATCTGTGTAATNTGCATAAAGCTCCCGACGCAGCTTATCCTGATTAAGTCTGATGTAAGATAACTTGTTTTGCTCCGTTGATGCCCCAAGCATCTACTACAAACTCTTGAAATAAATTTCCTCCTCTAAGAATTGTTGAATACTCAGTGGGACGTGGAAACATACGATAACTGTAAAATTGCATCTGTGTAATCCTTCTTATTGAAAAATCACTTTGTTCGGAGTTCCATTGACGTAGACCAGGCTCCCAACCAAGCTCACCAGTAGGGAATAAAGGTATATAGTGTAATGGTAAATATGTTGGATGACACTCATTGATCAGGCTCAGCGCTCTATTATCTCTTCTTACGTGCAGAATAATATCTCGCATAGAACAACTCTCACTACCATCACCAGGCAAAATCATAGTTATTTCATCAGCGGTTGGAAGGTTGTACCGATGCCTATCAGTTGATGAGGTGTAATGAAGGTGAGCACGTAAATCATGATCTGAAGATTCNTGGCTCAGCGCTCTATTATCTCTTCTTACGTGCAGAACAATATCTCGCATAGAACAACTCTCACTACCATCACCAGGCAAAATCATAGTTATTTCATCAGCGGTTGGAAGGTTGTACCGATGCCTATCAGTTGATGAGGTGTAATGAAGGTGAGCACGTAAATCATGATCTGAAGATTCTGACTCAGTAAGAATTTCGTGTGCACGATTGTACTTTGTAGCAAAATGATTCACTGACAACAAACAACTCTGTATAGTATGAAGTACATCACGACGCATGTTAGTATTTTGCGCACATTGAATATTCAATGCAGTGATTGAGTCGTATATGTACAATTGACAATAGATGGGTGCGTGACCTTCCGGATGTAATAATAACCCAGTCCGATGACGTAATTCCCCATGGATAGTGAATGACCTTGGTTCTTTTGAATTAAGTAATCTATCATCAAGCTTAGCACCCAAGCTCGTGAAAGCATTGGCTGCATTGTACTCCCTAATATGCCGGCAAAATGATTTTGATTGACCATCATGGCCNTCACGACGCATGTTAGTATTTTGCGCACATTGAATATTCAATGCAGTGATTGAGTCGTATATGTACAATTGACAATAGATGGGTGCGTGACCTTCCGGAGGTAATAATAACCCAGTCCGATGACGTAATTCCCCATGGATAGTGAATGACCTTGGTCCTTTTGAATTAAGTAATCTATCATCAAGCTTAGCACCCAAGCTCGTGAAAGCATTGGCTGCATTGTACTCCCTAATATGCCGGCAAAATGATTTTGATTGACCATCATGGCCATCATACAATGCACGAATAGGAGGTGGGGTGCAATGAGTTCTAACAACCTAATTTTGCTTTGTAGGCAACATGTTCCAAATCTTGGATTAGACAATCCTGTGCGAGTTAATCTCTCATCCCGCCAATGTAAGGCCGAACAATAAGGACACTGAATATTCATCTGCCCTAGAAAATGACGATCATTACTGACAGGGACAATCACATTCAATTCATCATCACTAACAANATTTTGCTTTGTAGGCAACATGTTCCAAATCTTGGATTAGACAATCCTGTGCGAGTTAATCTCTCATCCCGCCAATGTAAGACCGAACAATAAGGACACTGAATATTCATCTGCCCTAGAAAATGACGATCATTACTGGCAGGGACAATCACATTTAATTCATCATCACTAACCATACTGTCATCATCGCTAAAGGGTTCGAGTGGGGATCTACAAATTAAAAGTATATGCACACAAATATGAGAAAGAAGTAAAAGAATATTAAGCACCTAATAAACTACATAGAATATGCATATCTTGTTGGATCTGTCACAACATGAGACGAAATGTTGAGGGCATTGTCGTCAGTTTGATAAGGATGTGGTGCAACATTGGCGACAACTTCATAATGACCATAGTCTGTCTCTAAATTCTGAGGCGAGGGTAAAGGTCGCACAGGGATGGGTGAGAATGGATCACGGTCAATTGGAATGAAAATTGGATCGGACGCAATTATAGGTGTTAGATAACGTTTCGAATAATGTGTCCGCGCCTTTTTTTGTAGAAGGTGCAATGGAGTTAAGTCTTGCGAATCATGACATAAGGGTTGGTGGGAATCATGACATAAGGGTTGGGGGGAAGTGTAATGAACTGATCCCTTCCTATGCAACTATCCAACAGGGGTAGGACAATACGTTAAAACCATGATATTAAAAGCAGTAGAAATACTTATAAATCATAAGACATGAATCAAAAAATTTACCAAAGAGGAAGACATATTTTCTTTTCCATTTTGTGGGCACTTAGTGGGTGTGCGACATACTGCTAACGTTGAAGGTGCAGTTTGCATGTAGAGGGATAGTGTTTTTTGCCTAAATACGCATTCATTCTGGCGTTGCAGATAGTTAATTTTTGTAATTTAATCCGAAAACAAACGATAAAAAAAGTAATTTTATCTCGACATTGTACAACTGATTAGGCAAATGTTCGGCAAGTATTAGACTGATTTCTCTGGATAAACTACTGAGTGGTATTAGACTGATTTTATTTACCATTTCCAATCTTAACTGGAAAAGCTGCAAATGCAGGACCCTAAGGACTTATTTGTGTGATGGGTTTGTGCGGATATACAGTGGTGGGTTTAATAAAAACTGTCTAATGAACCATGATATATCATATGTTTGGTTACACATTTGAGGCCCGGGATTAGAATCTCGTTCCGTAATAGAATAGGCTCTCAAGGTAAAACTCGTCTATATGGTGGGTTTGGTTAATTTCATGACAAATATTTATAATCAGTCCGTGGACTACGTATGTTTTTGTGTCATTTGTTAAACATGGAATCAGATATAGTACATTATTCAATCCCTTGAACAAAAACCTAAAAACCTGAGAGCTGGATTTAAAAAGGTTTCCCAAATCCAATTCAACCACTCCCATAAAAACCCATCCAAACAGGCCCTAACTGTCCAACCAAACATGTTATGCCTAGGTCCATTGGGCTATTTTACTTAATCCAACCCTCCAATCCCACCCGCACCGATAAACTAAGCAAGACCTAGGAGATTATAATTGAGAGGACAGCAAGAAGAAATAATTATTTGGGTTAGGAACTAATTATTTGTTGTCATCATACAACTCTCAATTTTGTATCTCCTAAAAATAAGACTCGCTAATCCAACGATCCAATTTAAAATACAAAATACAGTGAAAAGTGTAGAATTGATATTGTAGGTAGCAAACCCATAATCAATCGGCAATGGGTGAAAGGTCCCATAAAGCTCATACACAAGGTTAAAAGATATTGTTCTCTAGATGTGAAACAATATTCATAAACATGGAAGCTTATTGTCAATGACTATCACAACCAACTGTAAGCATAGGCACCTTATTTCTACGATACTGGTGCTGGTGTAGCAGTTCCCCACTCACCGAGGGCTGGTTGCAAGGGTAGTTTGGAGTCCAGGAGGGCCGCCACCACGACAACGGAAATACTTGAAGCATCCACGGTGCCACGGATTGGCCGGCTTAGCAGGGCTTTTGGGGCCGACGTAGGGAAAGAGGCAACCCAATGGCGGATTTGTTCCTCTGCATGGTTCAAGCTTTATAAAGTGGGGTTGTCGTGGTGGTGGTGCCGGGGGTCTAAGGTTCAGAGCATGTATCAACACCACCATGCAGATGAGAATCATACTGATCAGGAACCTGGACTTCATGTTACTGTATGTCATGGCTGGTTTCCTTTGTTCATTCTCTTGACGTTATACATATCAACTTAGCAGATGTTATGGTTCAACCCACATAAAAGCCATATTAATTATTATAGTAACTAATTAATGAAAACTGAAAAGGTTTCATGTTCAGTTACAGAGCCATGGGGTAAACCCATGTGCTGCACTAAAAAAAAAAAAATTACCAAAATTATAGTTGAAAGAATAAATAAAACTAAAAAAAGTAATGAATGATTCATTAACACTCTTGAAATCAATATGAACAAAAAAAAAGAAGTTTACAAGAGATGACATTACCATTGGTTATATAACTAAATTGTTTTATTAAAAACCATTACTTTTTCTTTTGTTTTTTTCTTAAGTATCTCAAAAAAACAATGTTATTTAAATCTAGCTAATTTAATTACTCATAATTATTGGATTTGTTAATATCCGTTACTAATCTAATAATTATGATAAGTTAAATCAATAAATTAAATTTAAATAATATTATTTATTTCAAAAAAATAAAATAAAATAGAGGACAATCACTTATACCCCCAAAGCTAACGCTAGGTTACAAGAGAGGTATTAAATGCACGTGGAATGTTACCTGCAATTCGGTGGAAGACCTTTTTCCTATTTTCGTCGGGCCACATTATTTTAGCATATTTTAATAAAATGGGTATTTTTATGGAAAAATTTTATTTTAGATTGATTATTTTTTTTTAAAGAATGAGTTTATATGTGTGCGTGCACGATCCTGCACAATATAAACACGAAAACAGATGTCTTCCATGATAAACACGAGTCCGTTAATCGAGTGGCCGATCTTGTTACTTGGAACAAGTTGTGAGGGCCAAAAGTGGCCAATGAAGCAATGACGAATTATTTTTAGAGGTCGCCTGAGTGATCCTAGAAGGCTAAGGGAGATTCCTGAAACAGAGAAAAATGAGTTAGGAGGGCGCCAAAATATTTTTTGGCATATTCCTTGAGACGATCGAGTCAGTTCTTTTTGAGAGAGGAAAAGAAGAAAACACTGTGTATATACGTGAGGAAAGGTTCTTGCGTACCTCGTCATGTATTTGTGAGAACTATTTATACCTTAAAACTCATCATTACTGACAGCATAGCCAGTAGGTGATCATTAGAGGTGGACAACATGCACACTGATTTCTATGAGAAATGTCTTCTTTCTTAACTGCTTAGGACCCCGAGCAATCAATGCTTCATCATCGGCCAGCCGAATGTTTAATGACCTTTTCTTGGCAGAGATATATTAAATGCCCAGGCGTAGGAACATTTATTACCTTTTACTTCCAGGCCTTCATGCATTAAATGCTGTCTCATAATGGAAAGGGCGCACTAAATGCTTGTTTTTCCCAAATCGCGTGTCAACAAGAGCATTTTGGTCTTTTCGTCTTTGATCTGACGCAATACGCCACGTGCCCACTCCCCTTTGACTGAGTCTTTTGCTTTCTTGTACCTCCTGACATTATTTGGGTAAGACGAGGTCATGATGGTTAATCTAGTCTAGCCTAGGCTAGTGACCTGTCCATAATGCCAACGTGGGTAAATACACTTCAGTGCCAAGGAACTAGTATGGTTAGGAACTGATGTACCCCAATTCGACCGAGGGATACGTGTCGGTCTATGGCATACTGGGCATCGTTGATCCTTATGAATAGTACCCTCAGGAGAAAGGAATTATGTACCAACGAGTACGTATCGTGATCACTGCAAAGAGTATCTATTGATGCCGAGTACACATGTCGTGATCTGAGAATGTCTGAAAATATCTCATCAATATGCTATATTAGTGTTTCCTTGTTCTTTAGTTGAGTCTTCAACGTGGGCACTGATACAACCAACAAAGAAGATATGAGTTTTGCGCAGGACTGTGTAGTTTTTCCGCACCAAAGGTCTAACGGCTAGGTTTTTCACATTCATTTTTTTCATTTAATTCTAACAATTATTATCTAATTAAATACAAAAATAATTATGGAATATTAACAATCATATATATATTCATATTTTTTTGTTAAAATTTGACTCAAATTCTCTAATTGTCAGAAATGAGAGTTTATTGGGTAATCAATGCGAAAATTCTATATGAAATAGGATTATATTGTAAGAGTTTTAATATATCATCAATAGGTATATTAGACATGTGATAGAAAACATAAATATCAAGTTGTATCTGAATAGGTGTGGGTTACAACATTTTATTCTTATAAATAGGGTAGAGTATTATGAAATCAATTATCCGATCAATTTTTCATTAAATAATACATCAATGTAGATTTTTGGTTTGTGGATGTATGTACAGTATACTAAGGTGGATATATTGTATTAAATCACGTTATATCTTTGTGTCATGTATTTTTATTGTTTTTCTATCTTCGAATTTTATCTTCCAATAAATATTATTTGTGTTAACTATCAGATCTATTGTGTAAAACCAACAAATAGTATCAGAGATATGTTTCAACCATTGGTATCAGAGCTATATTCCAACATCTTTTATATTCTTTTTTGTTGTATCAATTTTTTAGACAATATAAAAATGTGATGTGTGAAATTTCTGTTTTATTTGATTGTATGGATCTGAGTATATAAACATTCAATTAGGTTGAATTATTGTATTTTAAAGACGACACGTTACTATCTGGTCCGTGTCTCACCATATCATTTATTTTACCCTTCGGATTCATATTTTCAACAAGAAATGTCTGTTCCCCTAATATCAACACTCGAATCATATTGTCAAAATATGGTTGTTTCCTTCTTCCATCATTCGTAGGTCATTGAAGATCATGGTGGCCAAATCCTAAAGAATGGTACTCTGTGAAGGTCAAGCATCCATGAATCTAATCAATAGAGAAGGACATGAAGACAAATTGGAACGCGAACTCTCTCTTCTTTTCGTAACATAAGAACTGAACTGATCTTGGGTCTCACTTCTCATGGATTTGATTACGGTATAGTCAAACAAATTATAATATCATATTTTTAAAATTTATTATTTTAAAAAGTGTTTTTATAATTTTGTAGGTTATTTTACAATCAAAAAAATTTTCTTCTTTTGTAATTGATTTATTATTGTTGTGATATTTTTACCACTATTGGAGGTATTTTTATCACATTTCTTAAATACAAAAAAATTAATCACTTTTATGGGTAATTTATCACATTTACGGGCATTTTTACCACTATTATGATAGTTATTTTTATTATTTTTCTTTAATATCATAACAATTATAAAAATACTCATAAATAAAAAAAAATTACCGGAAAATATATAATACCAAAATTTTGAATTTCGATACCCTAAGCAACTGCACTTCTCATTAGTTGCGTAGTGTAGCGATGAGCTTCTTCATAAAATAAATACGTTTAAAGCGTCTGGCGTGGTGGATAACATAGAATACGTGTTTAAAGCATCTGGCGTGGTGGATAACATGGACAAATTGTGTGGATAAGATAATATTGTCCTTTGGACCCACTTACCTAATTATGGTCCCATCCCATCTTAGTCTTTAACCTATTATCGATTCTTTGTATGGTGATGACTCTTCAAGTATTTAGACTGTCCACTATGCTTTCGAATAAAAAATGTCTACTCATTTTCAATGATAACGATTTTGATCTAAAAAAAAAGAGTTTACGATTTATAAAATATGTAATATTAGTCATTGTCAAAGATATAATGTGAAAAATACAATACTGAGAAGATATTATGAACAAAATAGTCAAAAATATCATTTTTTTTTTTAATTGTAAATCTTGTCCATGTGCATTGATTGAATTTAGATTTATGATGATAATAAGATTGATAGTAGTATTTGTAAATATATCTAAATACCGAGAGTTTTTTAAAATAAATCAAAAATTTTAAAACAATTATGGTCCCATGGTTCAATCAGACAGAATTATGGCAGTTTGGTTCAATGTAATTATTCTTGTTAATATTTTACTTTATTTCATAGTGGGATAGGGGTTGAGTGGTAGAATACTACTTTATTCTATAGTGGATAGGGGTTTAGTGGCAACCTCGTCCGTTCTTTGATGGATACTTGTTATTTGTAATAACAATTATTGGGCTTTTCGGTGGGTACATAGGTTGTTTTTTGCATTTGATGATTAAGGTTGTTTGATTCAGTTTATACATGTTTCGATTAATTTTTTCTTTAATTTGGTTAAAAAGAAATTATTCACGCTGAGACTAGAATATTCATGAGAGAGTAATTATCAAAATTTAAATTCAAGACATCTGAATGTATAACTCGTCCTTATTATTATTTGAACTACTTTTTAGAATTGTAGGTACATAGGTTTTGATATAAAAAGAGGAAATAATATTTGGATATAAAAANTGATTAATTTTTTTTTTAATTTGGTTAAAAAGAAATTATTCACGCTGAGATTAGAATATTCATGAGAGAATAATTATCAAAATTAAATTCAGGACATCTGAATGTATAACTCGTCCTTATTATTATTTGAACTACTCTTTAAAATTGTAGGTACATAGGTTTTGATATAAAAAGAGGAAATAATATTTGGATATAAAAATCGGAGTTGGTGCGAGATTGGATAAATCGCATCATAAAACATTTAAAGATAGGCGGAAAAAATCAATGATTATTCTAGAACTATCGACTGAACTATAATTAAAATGAAGTTTTTATATTAGATTCTCAAATAAGTCACAATAAGATTATTTTAATTTAAAATGTAAGGATAATAAAATATACAAGTATACAATGGTTTAAAAAAANTGATAGGCGGAAAAAATCAATGATTATTCTAGAACTATCGACTGAACTATAATTAAAATGAAGTTTTTATGTTAGATTCTCAAATAAGTCACAATAAGATTGTTTTAATTTAAAATGTAAGGATAATAAAATATACAAGTATACAATGGTTTAAAAAAACATTAAATATTTCGACAAACGCGTCTAATACAAAACAAAACCAATTAGCCTAATTTCAAAAAGTAATGCTATATAACCCAAATTTACATCTCAAATGAAAGAGACTATTAGATCAGTGAATCTCATTTTAAAAAATTGATGAAATGCACTGATTTAATGGTCCCTTTNAAAAACCAATTAGCCTAATTTCAAAAAGTAATGTTATATAACCCAAATTTACATCTCAAATGAAAGAGACTATTGGATCAGTGAATCTCATTTTAAAAAATTGATGAAATGCACTGATTTAATGGTCCCTTTCATTTAAAATGTAAATTTAGGTTACATACTATTTCTCAACTTAAAAATAATATTAGAAACATTATTGGAGTCAAATTAATAATATTTTGAGCACTTCAATACAAACAATTACAGAAATAACCCTACCATATGCAAGCTCTGTTTTCTCCTCTTTAACTTCTTTGTTGTCACTTCTGTATTTTCCTTGACTGGTGTATTATATATAGAGAGAGATTGAAGGAAAAAATGCACGGATAAATTCTTACAATGAGTTGAGATAGCAATCCGTTGGATGAGCCTGAAATAATTAAAGGATTAGGGAATGGGTCAGGTGTGTATCTCGCTAATCCCTTCCAAAGCTCAAATCAGTCAATATATAGATCATGATATATAGTGTATTTCTCTCTTCAAATTGCGTACCTTAATCTAGCTTTTCGAGAGGTATTTATAGTTTAATTTGCAATGATGATCCTACCTTTGAGTCTCATTTAAGAGTTTAATGGCCTATGTTCATCATCTTTGCATAATGAGTGTCATTTCATGAAGTCTCATTAAGACTACTCTTGAGCAAATGGGCCCTTGCTCGGGAACTACAGAATATTCATAGCCCACTCCCCTGTCATTAAATAAATATCTCATATTGGCATTTAGAACTTATGTTTGAGCTTTCATGAGGTGGAATAGACAGTCCTCGGTCTACTCCGAGGTCCTCAGGTCGGCGTGACAATCATTAATGTCTCCTAATGATAACTCCCCATATTATGTGAAGATGTGAGCACTTATTAATGGTTTTATCTGAACAGTCAAGAGCCATATTAATGAACTGCTAATTCTTTATTTATTATTAGGTTTCATGGGGCATACTCAGCCCTTTCAAGCACGTCTTTATGTGTTTCAATGACTGCAGTTGCTCATGTGTCAATTTTTGATTGGCGAATCGCCTAATGTTCCGTCAAAAAATATGAAAGAAGGAAGACAAAAAAAATATTCCAAAGAGAGCTTTGTTTTTCCGGTTCATGAATTGCAAAATCCTTTCAGGTTTCACGGAAAATAAAATAAATAATTTTTTTTTATTTTGTTTTTTCGGTAAGATAAAAAAAAAGAAAAATCAAATCTAAAAATGACGAATTAAGATATTTATAACGGACATCACCATCTTGAGTGGAGCCGCCCACCGTTTCCGTGCAAGTTGCTCACAAAAACTGATATTTTATTTTAAATACCCTTAAACTTTTAATTATTAATTTGTCCACGAGTAATATTAACAGAAAGAATTAATTAAAATAAATTATATAATTCAATAAATAAATTAAAATAATTAAAAATTTAAAGGATATAATGTAAAATAAAGCTCATAATTCGGGGATATTTATGAGATTTGCCCATTGCCTAATGACTAGTAACCTGATCCTCTTTCTCTCTCTCTGTACCTTTATCTGTATATAACCTTTGTAAAACCTGAACATCTTTCATAAATACACAAAATCCATTACTCTTATCACAGTGTTGAATGGACTGTTGCCTCTCCTACAACAGACCCGCCGTTCTCAATTCTTTACCTTCCACGGTAAAGCCTGTGAAGGCGTCGTCGTTTACATCTTCTTCCAATTTCACCTTCAATCTCCGATTGTTCCGGCCGCTCGGTTGTCTTGTTCGAACTTCGAATCGGAGGGCTTTGATCGTTGAAGCTAGTGCGGAGGCGAGTCGTAGTCAGTGTGACTACAGTGGCTTGAACACGCCGCTGCAGCCGAAGTCGCCGGCCGGCAAGTTTTTGAGTAGTGTTTTGCTGAATGATCGTGGGTACTTCCATGTTGCGGTGGCGGAGCAGTTGGAGCAGCTGGTTGCTGACAGCCATGAAGCTCTGACTCGCATGAATTTGAGCTTGGGTTCTGATGAAGCTTGCCTTCACAGGTTCGTGCCATCACGCAATTCTTTCTTCTACTTCAGTGTTTGACTTTGTGTGTGCAGACATGTAGTTCTGGTAATCTTGGTGGTATGATTTGTTGTGTGTACGCAACCATAAGCAAATTTTCTTGTGGTTTTTGTGATCATTATTCATTTCCCTGTTTTATTATTTATTTTCTGATTTTTTTTTATTGTGGTTTTTTGGGCGTCTTTAACCAGTTTTGTTGGTGGAGCAATATTGGTTTTGTTTGAATCTTTGCGAATTTTACTGATCTCACTGTTGTTAAGGATATGCGGAATGGTTTACTACGATGATGTCAATGGAAAAACAGGCAAAGAGCTGTCGTAGATTTGTCACTGTTAGATGGATAGTTGTATATAGAAATACTTCATTTGTTAGGCTAAAAATATATTATTATAAGTCCAGTAAAGAAAGTATAGTGCTTGAAGCTTGAGTTTTTGATCTCATATGGATGCCTTGAAATGCCAGAGACCTTAGGTTGATGTGATGCCAAACCTTTCCTCTGTTTTCACTGATTTGGTCACTAAAATATTAAGAAGCTCAGAGGACTGGGTTTATTTTCTTCTAAGTTCGTTTTACAGTTCACATGGTTTTGCCAGAGAACGAATGATGATCTTAGAGGCTGAACAAGGTCGAAAGAACTGGCATTCATAAAAAACAGAAAGGAAACGTAATGCTTTTTTTTTAGAGGAAAAATGAGAAACAAAGTTAGGAATGTCAATTTGATGAACTTGAAGAGCTTCGAATCAGAAAACACAGAGGGTGGGAAGAATGGCTATAGGCTAAATAAACTGGACAAAGGGTATAAAGCAAAAGGCTAAATCAAGGTGATAGGTGTATTGATACTGAAAATTGAAGAGGATGGCTCTTCTATTGTTTGTGATCTCTGTGTTGTTCTCTCAGAGAAATTGCCATCGTTCTATGCAGGAGCTATATCATATCTCAGTTACCTTATTCTTCTCTCCATTGATATAATTAATTCCAACTCCTTGGGAGACACTCTCTGGCTTGGTTCAAATACTGGGAAAGGACCTGAGAAAACAATTTTGCAAGAAAACAATCCAAGCAAAATAGCAGTTTCTAACAATCTTAATGACACTATTTGCTTATGGTTAAAATTTTGAAAACTCCCCCCCCCCCCACTGGAAGCTTATGTACCATATCATGAGGGGAAGTTAGCGGAATTGACTTTGTATGTTAGTCAGCTTTATTGCACATTGCCATCTTGTTGTCCCAAATTGGTACATAATCCCCTGTCACCGAGGATATTATTTTTTCTCTTGGGGCCTCAGGCAAGATAAATGTTTGATAGGATGAAGGTGAACTGTGAACCTCAACGATAAAGTGAGCTTTTACACAATTAAGAACCATGGGTGTTTGAAATTGTGGTTGAACTGGGGGAGAAACATCATTACCTAATTGGAAATCCACAATGACCCTTGTTAGCTTGTTGCTTTGTCTGATTTTGAGCTACAGCAAGATCCACTTCGAACATCTGTGCTGGTCACTGGTGTGCATGAATCAAATTTACACAGTTAATTGGGTATCTTATATTGTTATTTAATATGCCAGACGCACGATTTTTTTTTCTTTTACCACTCTTCAGCTTAAGGAATTGATGCAGCTATTGTTCGATGAAGGGGTTCTTCCATGAATAGTTAATGTGAAGCCTCCGTTAGCTATGTCTTCCTGAATCTTGGGCTAATGTTTTGCAAAGAAAGACTAATGACGACTACTGATTTCCATTGGAGAATGAAAATGTGCTCCATAAATTGTTCATCCATACTATTGCTTTGCAAGGATGCATTGAAATTTTGAATGAGCATAGGTAAATAGCATTGGTATGCAACTCTCTTCTGTAACTCTTTAAAGGGACACATGTTTTATTTAACGTGCATAGTCTTATTCGAAAAAAAGTTGCATCTCCCTTGTTTTAACATGCATAACATTCATCTACATGATGATTGTTATTTGATATCCGCCAATATTACATCTGGTGGAAATTATCACTCCACTTTTGTGCCTTCCATAATGTGGATGTCATGGTTATGGGATATCATAGAACTCCTTGAGATGTCATGGATGAAAGAGGGTATATATCTGACATCATGTGGCTTTCATATTAGACCATGCCCTGATATGAGAAAGCACAATGGCTGTGATGCATGACTCATTGAGGCCAAGGGATTGGAAGCAACGTGTGCAATGTATCAATTAAAGGTGTCCAAAAGGACTAACCAATGATGACCATTATAGAACCTATGTATAATGCTTGGGCTGTTTGATCTGTCAATACTTGTTTCATTCGGGGGAAATTGCATATTTTACGTATTTTACTAACTCAATATATTTTTGAATGCCAGGAGGATTGCTGGATTGAGAGAGCATGAGTGCCAAACTGCAGTTGAAGACGTCATGTATATGTTAATTTTCTACAAGTTCTCTGAGATCAGAGTCCATTTGGTTCCAAGGCTTTCCCAATGCATTTATAACGGCAGACTTGAGATATGGCCTTCGAAAGACTGGGAACTCGAATCCATCCACAGCTTAGAGGTATTGGAGATGATAAGGGAACATCTGACCACAGTGGTAGGCTGGAGAGCAAACTCTAATGTCACGGACAATTGGGCCACAACTCAGATTCAGCGACTCCAGCTCTGCCGAATCTATGCTGCTTCCATCTTGTATGGTTATTTTCTGAAGTCTGCTGCCTTGAGACACTATCTGGAACTGAGTCTGGATGAGGTCAACTATGATCTTGGTATCAGTACTGATAGTCATAGTCCATGTTCAGAGTTATGGTCTTACGGATCAAAGAATATTGTCTTTGGCCAGACTAGCAGGATAAGAACCACATCACTGGGTCAATTGTCATATAGCCAGGAATATAACAGAGAGAAGCTGAAGGGTTATGTGATGGGGTTTGACCCGGAGACATTGCAGATGTGTGCAAAGCCAAAGTCTAAAGTGGCTGTGAATCTGATTGAGAAGCATAGTTGTGCACTTTTTGCAGATGAGAAAATGGGGTTGCTCGAGACTGGTGAAGTGATTTCTACATCATTGGCAAGTCTGAAGAGACTAGTTTTGGAGGCCATTGCTTTTGGTTCTTTCCTTTGGGATACAGAGGAATATGTTAATTCTGTTTGTAAGCTTGCGGAGAACTGATTAGCAAAACTGAGTTACAGAGCTTGCTTGAAGGTTAGATCTATCTGTACATATGAGTTTCCTGCTTTTGACTCTGGCAACTTTTGCAGTCCCTGAATTTGATTACTGCTGTATATACCCCAATAGAACTCTAATGTATAAAAGTTCTAAATAGTGGTGGATGAATTATTCAAAAGTATTTGGTTTCATGTATTTTTAGCTTGTGCAATATAAATTGGCTGCCTTTATGTCTTTCCTGATTATCATACCTCTTAGGTTGCTGCTTGCTGACTTGACCTGCCCTCTTGGATGATTTTTCCTTATTTCATTGTTTTAAAGAGTATGAGGTCATGAACCCATGCTTAGGATGGTGTGTTGTGTGCTTGTCGTGTGGCATGCTTATTATTTACTAAAAAACTTGAGAGTGACATACTGTTTATGTAATTGATAATTGAAAACCAAAATATGTAATTAAGTAGTTGGCAAAACGTCGTTAAGACAATGTGCACCCATAAAAAATGTTCTATATGAGAGATCTTACAGATTAGCCGGTTATCTCTTCCTCTGTTCTTTGGTGTTTTTTTTTATTTGGAGGGTGGGGGGTGGGGGGTGGTGGGTGTTACTGGTAAGCAAGTTTCTCATTGTTTCTATAAATTAGTTCTCATGACAGCTGTGGTTTTTTGTCTTTTGAGGTTTTTTAATGTTGACTTTCATGAATCTATCGACAAATATGCTACAAAATATGACCAATTAGGATATTAAACATTCAATCTGTTTACCAATTTTTTTTTTCCATTGTTTACTCGGTCCAGATCTGTGTCAGGTGGCTCTGTGGCTACTGCGCCAGTTTTTGGTTTGCCTTATGCCCAGAAATTTCTCTTGCTGATTTTCTAGCCAATTACTTAAGAATCTTCCTATTAAAAATGTTATTCTTGAAGACTTGAGATTTATAAAATATGCTGACAGCAACTCCTCCTTATAAAAAAGTAAACAGATCAGAGAAATGGGTTTCAGTAATTCAACGATATAGACTAATCATAGGAATTCATAGCAGTTAAGGGTTCATATCAGATAACAACCCTTTTCCTTTCCTCTGAAGTCGTCCTCTTCTTCTTCTTCCTCTGCCTTCCGAGTTCACATCCAATACAAAGATGGTTGTTTTCCTGCTAAATATGATTTTCACGGCGTTGAGCACGTTATCAAACCTCGTTTCTCGCCTAATCTTCACCTTCATGGCCTACCTTCTTGTGGTGGTGATCCAGGCATTCAAACTCCCCGGCCAAGCCATCCAAGGTGCATTAGAACAAGTCGCAGACGCCATCAAGGGCTGCTTGGAGTATCTGGTAGAGCTTGTTATAGAAGCCGTAAGTACTGCCCTCTCTGCTATCTTTGATCTTCTCAAAGAAAACATTTCAGCTTCTATAGTTGCTACTGGCTCAGCCATTGGAGCACTGATGGACATGAGCAGGACTTCAGTTGCTGCGTTGATAGAAGAATTACCGGGGCTTTTGGAGGGTTTTTTCGAGATGATTATCACGATGGTGACCGATCTGTGGAATAACTACAATGATGCTGTAGGATATGTCACCGAGAATTCTTAATTTCATCAGTGTTTTTTGCAGAGTTTTTAGGTGTAATATAGATTAAAAAGACAGTTGTTTCTGTTTATTAAAGAAGATTAGAGGTATGCGATCTTATTTCATGTCATGATTGAATTTCATATAGAATAGTGATGTCTAGACATGTATAATGTTCATTAGTGTTTGACAGAAGCTCCAGTAAGTCATGTTCATAACTAAAAGAGTTATTCTTTTTCTGTTTCCTTTTTCCTTTTCTTTTCATTTTTTTGTTCAATAGTCAAAGGTGTTTGAATCAATTCATGTGCACCTTGATTAATAATCTCCACTCCGATCTGATCAAATTAGGTATTCATGAGGGATAATTCCCTAATGGTAAGGATTGTCAAGATTCAAACTCAAAATGTTTGAATTTACAACTCATCTTTATTATCATTTAAACTACGTTTGAAGTTTTTCCTTTTCTTTTTGTTGTTTGGATTGTTATGTTTTATGCTCCTATATGATCTCAATTTTAGGACTTTGGTTCAATGATTTGCTACTCCAAAGAAAGGTAAGAAATTTCATGAAAGTGCTTAATTATCAATATCAATAATTCATTGTTAGCCTTAGCCATAGTTTTAATTTTAAATTTTTCATAGTATCAAAATGAATAAAATGAGATGGAGATCCAATGCACTGCACATGACTCTAATTAATCGAATTTGAAAAGAATAACNTTAGGTATTCATGAGGGATAATTCCCTAATGGTAAGGATTGTCAAGATTCAAATTCAAAATGTCTGAATTTACAACTCATCTTTATTATCATTTAAACTACGTTTGTAGTTTTTCCTTTTCTTCTTGTTGTTTGGATTGTTATGTTTTATGCTCCTATATGATCTCAATTTTAGGACTTTGGTTCAATGATTTGCTACTCCAAAGAAAGGTAAGAAATTTCATGAAAGTGCTTAATTATCAATATCAATAATTCATTGTTAGCCTTAGCCATAGTTTTAATTTTAAATTTTTCATAGTATCAAAATGAATAAAATGAGATGGAGATCCAATGCACTGCACATGACTCTAATTAATCGAATTTGAAAAGAATAACAAATTCCCTCCCTTTTTTTTTAAGGTCTAAGTTTTAACTCAAAAAATTCTGATCGATTATAAAATATTATGGGTGTCAAAATATGATATGATTCCGTTAACACGATGCAAAATTAGAGAGTGTGAATCATTCTTAAACCACTNATGATCGATTATAAAATATTATGAGTGTCAAAATATAATATGATTCCGTTAACACGATGCAAAATTAGAGAGTGTGAATCATTCTTAAACCACTTATTTCGTAAATGTGTGGATCCAATTCGATTCGATTAATAAACGAACCGGGAATAGATAAAACTAATTATGAGAAATACATAACACGACTCTTGTATAAACCAGTTATACGTAATACGAATCTGATATGACACAATTCATTAGACACAAATTAATAAATGAATTGAGTTTATGTGGAGTACTTTTTGACAAGAATCTGTATCACTCGACACGATTGACAGACTTATAAAANCCGATTAATAAACGAATCGGAAATAAATAAAATTAATTATGAGAAATACATAACACGACTCTTGTATAAACCAGTTATACGTAATACGAATCTGATATGACACAATTCATTAGACACAAATTAATAAATGAATTGAGTTTATGTGGAGTACTTTTTGACAAGAATCTGTATCACTCGACACGATTGACAGACTTATAAAATATTGTGATTGATCATAAAATATTTAATTTTTAAGATCAAACCACAAGTTATTGAACTTATGTATCATAAATAAATGAATAATCATACATTATATTTTGTATAATATAATTAACTATTAATAATAATATTTTTCTGTACGATAATTACACGTGGAATATTAAGCCACAGCATCTACAATTCCGGATGTAAATTAGCCGCGAGGGCATCACTGGGGGCTATTTCTGTCAATTCACGAGAAAAAGATAAATGGCGGTTACGACCTCAACCCTGTACGAGTTCGATAGAAGGGCACGAAAGACAAGCTTTGAGTCTGACACGCTAATTCGGTTCACATATTTGTATGCCGTCGCCGTCGCTCAATTTCTTGGTTTCTTCTCTCTCTCTCCCCTCTATATACACATCGAAAATGCTCGGTAACTGTTGTGAATGAGAATGGCGAGTAAGCTTATGCACGCGGTTTGGTATGAGTCTTATGGAGGAGGACCTGCTGGTTTAAAGGTAATTTCACTTGGCTTTCTTACTGTTCCTTCTCTTTTTGATTTTTATGTTCTTTACTTTTCATTTAATGGCTGCTCTGAATTATAGGAATGATTTTAAATTATCTGCATATTAAATTCAAAACCCTCGACGAAGAAGCGAGGTCCTCAGGATGTTTTGAACGAATGAATGATTTTAATATCAGATTATTGTTGGTTGACAATTTATCATATTTGAAGATTCTGGTTCAAAGACCCATTACCCACATTGAAATATAAATTTGAATAATTGGTAAAAGTGATTTTTTTTGGGGGGGTTTATCGGTTGTCCGGCCAACTTAAGCTCACCTCACTAATATCCACTCCGGTCTGGTCAAAGACAGCCATCTCCGGTCCTCGGGGCCATTCACGCCGGAATTAGGCTATTCATGGGCTGTCAAGATTTGAATTCGTTACCACTTGGGCATACTGGGTTACTGTATTGCTAATCTAGATAGTAGTTTTATATGGTTAGTGGGTGTTGAAACTATGCCCTAGGAACAGAGTTTCCAGACATTTGAAGCATTACAGTGGACGAAGAGTAATAATGGTATGGATGTGAGTTGGTGAGTACCGGTAATTTTCAAACATAGGCGTTGCAGGAATTTTAATGGAATGCATGGTGTTAAGTAGGTGATGGAAATAGACGATTGTGCTTGGTCCATTCAGGGTGGCGATAAATCTAGAGAAAACTTGGTAACAGATTAATGTTTAGACATGCTGTTAACGAACAGCATGAATTCCTTGAATTGGAATTGGAATTGGAAATAAAGTAATAAAACAGTTGATATTTTGAAATACTTTTGACTCCAATTCCAATTGCATATTTTAGATAATTTGTGCTGCCAAACAGATCCTCACTGGAGTATAGGATGGTGTATGGCTTGCCTTTCGGGTTGTTGCCTCATGACCCATTTTTCTTTCTCTTTTGCGCCTTGGGTGCTTGAGTAGTGTCTTGGATGATGTGGTGAGAAGACGGTATGGTTCTCTGGGCTGAGATTATAATTGGGTGGGAGAATTTCATGTGCTGTATGTGGAAGGAGAAGAATAATGCCTTTTTTAAGGAGGCGGCTCAGTTGTTATTTTTTGATTTGAGAGAGTTGTATGATTGCTTCTTTTTCTCTATATAATAAACTCAACTCAACAAAACTTTTATCTCAATTATGTTGGGTAGGCTAGAATTTTAGAATTCGTGTTGATGTTGAATCCGACAAAATTTTACGTTAATTGTCAACTATGTAACTCTCTTCCTTTACCCATGCTTGCGACCGGATGTGTAATATAGGATGCTCTACATAATATTTAAAATATTTATTGTGTGTAATGCTCTATGTGACCTCTGTCGTGCATGCTTGTTAACGTTTGTTTTTGATGAACTTGATCTTGTGCAATCAAATGTTCGCTGCTTATTTTAGGACTCCGAATACATTTTTTTGCCAAGGGTACCTACATTTTTTCTGTGTTTTATAGAAGAATAGTGGCATGAGGTGGTCTGTTTTTACTTTTCTTAAGTAGCTAGTACTCTTTCACACATGTTTCTAATATTTTTCCTATTGATTCTTATGCCTATCGATAGTTTTAACCCAACAATCCGTGGAGTCTATCCAGATTCCAGACATGTTACACGAAAGTTTTAAAATGAGTGAAGAAACGGCCTCAAGCACGAATTGGGAACTTCTCCTATGCATTTTTTATAGTTAATTTGTACATCACTAGTCAAATTCCATCAGGGCAAAGATAATGACTAGGTTCTTTTCCCACATGGGGAGTGGAAACTTTCATTGNTGAAAGTTTTAAAATGAGTGAAGAAACGGCCTCAAGCACGAATTGGGAACTTCTCCTATTCATTTTTTATAGTTAATTTGTACATCACTAGTCAAATTCCAACAGGGCAAAGATAATGACTAGGTTCTTTTCCCACATGGGGAGTGGAAACTTTCATTGCATTTGAATTGCTCGTCTTCTATATCGTTTTTGTTTCACCATTACGTAATATAAACTTTCAGTTTTTTTATTGTTAGTATAATTTGATGTTTGTTAAATCTCTAAAATAGTTGATAGGTAAGCATAAATTGTTGTAAAAATGGTGATCTGCCTATCTAGCAAATGTTTTTGAAGTTTGAAAACTAAGCTTCTTTACAAAATATGTGTTTACGTGTTATGTTTTCTGGAACAAAAACAGAAAAACAGAGGTCGAACTTTGAGACCAGCCAAATGATTTTTAAGCTGTTCGAGAGTTTAACAGTAGAATCTGGTTGCAAAATTTAATCTATGATCAGCTATATGGTGCTGAAATTAGGATAGCAGTCATGAATTAAATATAACAAGTATGGGGCTGCCTTAGAAAAATAAGTTCCAAGTTGCATCTCATGCCTTTTGCAGCATGTTGAAGTCCCTGTTCCTGCTCCTAATAAAGATGAGGTTTTGCTAAAACTAGAAGCAACAAGCTTAAATCCAGTTGAATGGAAGACTCAGAAAGGCATGTTACGCCCTATTTTTCCTCGCAAACTTCCTTTTATACCTGGTGAGTTTGGTGACATTTGTTGTTTTTTTTCGCAATTGACATTTGTGTCTATCGGTCAGATATTCTGTACTATGTTCTGCCTTGACATTTAGTTTGGTGTCTTGTCATTGCATTGTTATTAGAATGAAAAACTGAATTAACTTAAAAATCAGTATGATATCTCTTATTATCATAAAGAGAGAGCCTGGGGTTTAGTGTCCACATATAAAATATCTATATGACCATTTATTTCTTTTCAAATAACCTCCTCTAACTCCCTCTTTAACCCCATTTAACCGCCTCCAGTCATGAAATATCACACTTACCTTTCATTTCTTTCCAAAGAGATCTTCACACGGTAACCATTGTGTAGGGCCCTCTAGTTGCTTATTAGGCAACTTTTAGGCATGGAAAAACATACTCCCTATCTAAAAATAAAAATAAAAATCTATCATATCCCTAGCCCTCTATTGTGTATGAAATTTATGATTTCCATTGATGCAAATCCAATCACCTCAATTTAAGATAATAAGCAATTCTCCATTGATAACAAATGGTTATCCATTTTTTTTAACATTTGAACAAAATGGCTATCCATTAAGGTGAGGAAATCATATTTTAAAAACATAAAGATTAGGCTATCCGCTCTTGCCAAGAACGGGCTAATAAGGTCAACTACCCAAGTAACCTTCGTAATTAAATACCATTAGTGTATATATAGGTAGATCTAATTGTGAAAGACCTATTACTGGATAATTCATGGGTAGAGTTAAAGAATGTGAACTAGACAAGTTACCAATTACATTGATTAAATGAAGTAAAGGCTCCGGTGTATAGAGCTGTTGGGTTGTTTTGTTTAATTAGACCATAAGCTAATGCAAACTTTAGAAAAGCATGGCATGCTTGTTTTGAACTCAATTTTTTTGTTGTTGGAACAGCAACCGATGTAGCAGGAGAGGTCATGGAGGTTGGACTTGGTGTGAGAAGTTTCAAAGCTGGTGACAAAGTTGTGGCCATGCTTCATTACCTTGTCAGTTTTATTCTGGAAAGTCCAGGAAGTTTTATTCTCTTTTATTTGTTCTATGCATCTTTCTACTTAGAGATCATGTTCTTATACTGGATGTGAACCCTAGATAGGTGCCGCTAAAGTTTTTAGGAGGCTAGGCTATTCATGAGTTTCAATGATAGGCACCCTCATTTGGTAATACTGATTGACAAAACACAATTAACACCAAGCTGGGTGATAAGTCCTGAACCTTGATAGTTTGTTGCTTCATGGTCTCATCTCTCATGCATCATATATCTCAGACACCTGTCCGTCCTTAATACTATCCTTTGATATGCATGGGATTGAATGATAGAATGGTGGTGGACTGGCCGAGTACGGAATTGCCAAGGAGAACTTGACGGTTCCAAGGCCACCTGAAGTATCAGCTGCCGAAGGTGCTGGTCTGCCTATTGCTGCTCTTACGGCTCATCAGGCCCTTACCCAAGCTGCTGGGGTCAAGCTTGATGGAAGTGGCTCACAGAAAAATATTCTCATTACAGCTGCTTCAGGAGGTGTCGGTCACTATGCTGTTCAACTCGCAAAGCTTGGCAACACACATGTGACAGCTACTTGTGGGGCACGCAACATTGATCTTGTGAAGAGCTTAGGAGCTGATGAGGTTCTTGATTACAAGACACCAGATGGAGCGGTTCTGAAAAGCCCATCAGGCCAGAAATATGATGCAGTAATTCACTGTGCCACGGGCATCCCTTGGTCTACTTTCGAGCCTAATCTGAGTGCAAATGGGAAAGTAATAGATATCACTCCTGGCGTCAGTGCCATGTGGACTTTTGCTCTAAAGAAACTCACCTTCTCTAAGAAGCAGCTGGTGCCACTTCTTCTAATTCCCAAAGGTAGAAACCTGGAGTATCTTGTTAAGTTGGTCAGTGAAGGGAAGCTGAAGACGGTGGTTGACTCAAAACATCCACTTAGCAAGGCTGAAGATGCTTGGGCCAAGAGCATTGATGGTCATGCTACTGGGAAAATTATCGTCGAGCCCTGATGAGTACAACTTCTCCCAATACACAATTAATGTCGTTTCATTAACTTATCATCATGGTAATTTGTTTGCATGTATTTTCAATGGTGGTTCTGTGTGAACTGTGTGGATTAAAGCAAGTTCATTTGAATGACAGAAGCCTTTTACAGGAATAATTGGCTGGCCTTGTATAGCAGTGTTGATGAACAATTATGTTGATATGGTAAGTTTGGTTGTGGACATTTTGGTAAGTTTGGTTAATGGGTGCCTCATGACTGCATTCGAGATATGGGAAAGGCTTACATAGAATAAATGAGATGGAATTTTTTTTGGGCTGGATTTATATCGAAGAGAGGGAATAAAGTACAAGAGAAAAGTAGTGCAGAAAGTTAAAGAACCACAGGTGGCAAATTTTAGTTCTTGTAGGNATATCAAAGAGAGGGAATAAAGTACAAGAGAAAAGTAGTGCCGAAAGTTAAAGAACCACAGGTGGCAAATTTTAGTTCTTGTAGGACAGTTTGATAATATCATTTTTTTCAGTGAGTTAAAAAAAAAATATTTTGAAAAATGAGTGTTTACATACATTTTTTATTCAATTATCAAACCCTTTGATTTTATAATCTCGTATTTTATTTTTTGGCGTCTTTAGGTGCATTTGAATTATTGAATCATGTTGATCATTGGACGAGATTTAAAATGCAAAATCTGAAAACTTCTAAAATTCAAATGCATGCTGGAGACTAATTCGTTGGAAGTCTTCAATCTCCTTGTTGAAAATTAGGCAGCTGGCTCTCCAACTAAAGTCTTTGTGGACAAAAACATATATATTATTAGGACGAAGAATGTGGTGTTGGTTCACTTCACACCCTCAAAGAAGGGAACAATCACCTAACTAATTTTGGTGTGAACCAACTTGAAGAGNCTTGAATTTCATGCCTCTTAAAAACTCAAATTTTGAATTAAAAACTTGAATTTTTATTTAAATTTAAATTAAATATTATAATAAATTTAAATTAATATTATAATTAGTTCTGAGTTGCATTTCATNTTATTTTGAAAAATGAGTGTTTACATACATTTTTTATTTAATTATCAAACCCTTTGATTTTATAAACTCGTATTTTTTTTTTTGGCGTCTTTAGGTGCATTTGAATTATTGAATCATGTTGATCATTGGACGAGATTTAAAATGCAAAATCTGAAAACTTCTAAAATTCAAATGCATGCTGGAGACTAATTCGTTGGAAGTCTTCAATCTCCTTGTTGAAAATTAGGCAGCTGGCTCTCCAACTAAAGTCTTTGTGGACAAATACATATATATTATTAGGACGAAGAATGTGGTGGTTGGTTCACTTCACACCCTCAAAGAAGGGAACAATCACCTAACTAATTTTGGTGTGAACCAACTTGAAGAGTTGGTGGTCCTTACGTCACCACCTCAGTGATTTTGACATTTGCTACTAACGGGCATCTCTAGTACTTATTATTTTACTAGTCATAACTCGTACTTGAAGGCACGTTAAAATATAAAATTCAAAAATTTAAAAAGTCGATCTCATTATATTAAATTTTTTTAAAATATATTAACTATAAATTAATTAAATATTAAATAATTAAATATACGATCGAAATGAGTAGTGTGATATTTTTAGGAAGAAAATATATAAATGATTAAATATGTGATAAAAATGAGTTATGTGATTTGACGTTTGAATCTGATAAAGGAATGATGAGTGAGATAAGTGATTGATGATGATTTTGAGGGGAAAAATATAACTGGGATAAAATTCAAAACACACTCCTGTTTTATTATATAGATTAGGAAACTTAGGTTCCCTCCAAAGAAAAAAAAAATTCTTTGGGATATTATGCATCTAATTTAAATTTTGACATGAAAAAAGGATAAATTAAAATCAAATNTATAACCCGTACTTGAAGGCACGTTAAAATATAAAATTCGAAAATTCAAAAAATCGATCTCATTATATTAAATTTTTTTTAAATATATTAACTACAAATTAATTAAATATTAAATAATTAAATATACGATCGAAATGAGTGGTGTGATATTTTTAGGAAGAAAATATATAAATGATTAAATATGTGATAGAAATGAGTTATGTGATTTGACGTTTGAATCTGATAAAGGAATGATGAGTGAGATAAGTGATTGATGATGATTTTGAGGGGAAAAATATAACTGGGATAAAATTCAAAACACACTCCTGNAATGATGCGTGAGATAAATGATTAATAATGATTTTGAGGGAGAAAATATAACTGGGATAAAATTCAAACACACTTCTGTTTTATTATATAGATTAGGAAACTTAGGTTCCCTCCAAAGAAAAAAAAAATTCTTTGTGATATTATGCATCTAATTTAAATTTTGACATGAAAAAAGGATAAATTAAAATCAAATTTTGATATACAATTACAAATATACCCTTAGCCATATCATGAAAAATGGTTAATATGTAATTTATAAAATCTTATAGTAATTGATCTCCAACAATAGAATTAATATTTTGATAATGAAACGAATTACCCTTAGTCATATCATGAAAAATGGTTAGTATGTAAGAAAACCTTACAGATGAGGTAATTTGGGCCCCATTTTTCGCTGCGGTTGCCTTGCCGCCTTCACATTCTCAGTTTCCTCTATAAAACATCTCTTTCTGTGAAAATACTCAGAACTCAGAAGGTACCAACAGTAGTTGTGAACAAGTATGGCTGCTAAGCTTATGCAAGCGGTTTGGTATGAATCTTATGGAGGAGGAGTTGCGGGTTTGACGGTAATTTCAAATGGTTCCCTGATTCTATTCTTTCTTGTTAAAATTTTCAACAACTATTCTCTTGAAAAAATCATCATATACTTTTAAGTTCAATTTTGCCCATTCTCATGGAAAATCGGTTTTTCACTCAATGTGTAATGATCATTTTTATTTTCGTTCAGAATCATTGCAATAACTTTATTTACTTATTTCTTACTTAAATTGTATACCGATATATTTTTGACTGAAAAAAATCAATCTCGTCTTGATAGAATTCAAAGAAAGGAAATAGATTATGATTCCAATCGTTAGTCGACTATGTAAGAGCATCTCGATGACTCAAATTTTTATTTAAATTTAAATTAATATTATAATAAAAAAACTTGAATTTCATGCCTCTTAAAAACTCAAATTTTGAATTAAAAACTTGATTTTTTATTTAAATTTAAATTAAATATTATAATAAATTTAAATTAATATTATAATTAGTTCTGAGTTGCATTTCATGCCTCTTGCAGCATGTTGAAGTTCCTGTTCCTGCTCCTAATAATGATGAGGTTTTGCTAAAACTGGAAGCAACGAGCTTAAATCCAGTTGATTGGAAGTTCTAAAAAGGCTTGTTGCGTCTTGTTTCACCTCGCAAACTTCCTTTCCTACCTGGTGAGTTTAGTGCCATTTGTAGTCTTTAATCCAATTTTTCTCTACCTTTTTGTTACTCAAGTTATGATATTTTTCCAGATAGATATTTGTGTTTGTCTATCTGATGTTATGAACTATGTACTGCCTCAACAGTAAATTTGGCATCCTGTCATTGCATCGTTGTTCTTAGAATAAAAAACTGTCTAATTATAGTCCTTACAAATTGTTATAATATTACTTGATTTTGACTGTTTTGATCACTAGCTACTAGTTATCTGATTTGAATGAAGTTAACCTTACGGGTTCCTGTGCAATTTTTTTTTTTTAAA